TCTCTATGTATTTTAGAAATGAGGCCCTTATCAGAGACACTGGTTATAAAAATTCTTTCCTAGTTTCACTTTAGTGTCTTTGCCAAGAAAACCCCAAATGAGATCACAGAGAGTCAGACAGGACTGAAATGACTGAACAGCCAACAACACCAATGTGCAAAAATTTATTAGCTTTTAAAGAATATATTAAATAGGACGAAGTGAACCTCAAGGAGGATTGTAGCCAATGGAAACTGAGTTAGTAGGTGTAGTCATTAAATATACATATGCATTCTTCAATTTATAAATAAGTTAGGTTTTTAAAGTGAATTAAGTCAGTTTTTTTAACTCACATCTTATTTTTCCTTTAGTAATATAGTTATAAATAGTATCTGTGTTCTTAGGCTAGCCCACAAAAACCTTTTTTTTTTTTTTTGGGTGGTGGGTTGGATATGGTTCTGGACCTGTGATTTCATTGGTGTAATGATTTCATTTCAGTTAAATTCACCAAATATTTATTAAGATCTCACTTTATGCCAGTCATTATTCTTGGTACTGGTAATACAAAGACAAATATGGAGATCCCTTCCTCAGAAAACTTCCATTCTGCTGGGGAAAAAACACGTACACAGGTAAGTAGATATGAAGTACATGAAAAGAAAATACAAAGTAATTGAGGTCATGAATAATTAGGGGACTAAAGAAAGAGTAGAACTGGACACTTGAGCTCAAGGTAGAGATTTCAAGAGGCTGAGTTTAGGAGAGAGAACATTTCAGGAATGAGAGAGCCTGTGTATAGCCATGAAGCCATATATGTCGTGTGTGTACCATAAAGTAGGCCACTTTAAATGGAATATAGAACGTGTAATGGGAAATAATGTGAAGTTGGTCTGGAACGATAAGTTGGAGACAGATTGTGAAGGCCAGATGATATTTTATCCTAGAAGCAATAGGAAATAACTTTCTTGAGTAGTGAAGGGAGATAGCCACAACCATGTTTTAGAAATATCAATTTGACGGTTTGTTAGGGATTGGAGAGGGAAGATACTTGAGATCAGTTAGAATGTTGTTATAAACATCTTGAGCTACAGTGGTAGGTAGTCTTATGAATGGGGAGATGCAAGAGATGTAAATATAGAATCAATAGACTTGGCAACTGAATGGGTATGATGGTGGTACACTTTGTTAAGGGAGTGAAGAGTTACCTAGATGGAAATAGTCGAGTTAATAAGAGGAATGGGTTCTGGGGCAATGATAATAAATTCTGTTTTGGCCATGTTGTGTTTGAGATGTCTTTGGGATGTCCAGGTTGTAGTATCCTATAGAGCAATTAGTGATATTGAACTAGACCTCAGGTGAGAAATGAAGATAGAGATGATCCTGTGGGAGTTGGTCGTAGGGGACAAAGCCCTAGTATATTCTTATGCATAGGTGGCGGGACATATGCCCCAGCAAAAGGACATTGAGAAAGAAGGGGTAGTTTGTTGGTCCCATAGGTGAGAAGAAAACCAAGAAAGAACATTGTCATGAAATCTCAAGGAAGACAGTTTCCAGGAGAGTTGCGTGGTCTTATAGTGTCAAAAGCTGCAAACTTCTTATCAGGAAGGGAACTTGTAGTGAAGAGATGATCACTTTCCTGCTCTGGACAACTTGTTTGTTGGTGATAGGAGGGGCTATAGAGGAGTTGTTGTTTGTCCTTCATTTTAGAAGCAGACCAATGACATCACGGGTGATACCTTGACGTGGATAAATTGGATTTTAGTGAGGCAGAGTTGCGCAAAGTTATCAGCCTCACATTCTCTTCCAGAGTAATTGAAGTCCAGTGGTAAGACCAAAGTCAGGATTGCTGGTGATGGTCCAGGATGCAGTGGATGACCTTGGCTTCTTCAGTGTCTGATCGAGCTCTGAGCTCTCTACAGTGCCTGCTTCAGCCTCCCTCATGTCTGTTGGAACAAATTGTTCTCATCTGCCCATTCTTCTGGGGGTGGGGAGTCTTCACATGCTTAGGATAGACATCCCTCTAATTCACTGATGAGTTTGAGGCCCATTGGTTACCCTCGACCTGGTTTAGCCTGTCTGCCGAGATGGTTTTACCAGGATGAGACCACTGTTCATGCTACAGCTTCTTGGAGTCACAGGTGAGGTGACCAGTTGGACTCCAAAAGTGATGAACAGCCCTGAAAAGTAGAGGAGTAGTCTCAGGGTGAATTGGTGTAACGAGGAGAAAAAGTACAATTACCCATTTGTTTGTGAAGGATATTTATAATCCCTGATACCTCTGTACTGTCAGAAGCTCACCTTTAACAAATACTGAAACACTAAAGTCTCTGCAAAGAGTCTATATTTTTATTTTAACCCAGAGCCAAAAGTAACAGTGATGTGATGATGTTACAAGTTGTTTAGTAGTCAATCTGCTTCATGAAACTGTTTTTCTTTCGGTTCATTATTTACATATTATCATTATTTTTTAACACTTCTATGCGAAATTGTCTCTAATAAAGATTAAGTATGTCTTTTAGAAAGTTGATTTGGGGGCATCTAGGTGGCAAAGTGGATAGAGCACATGCCCTGGAGTCAGAAGGACCTGAGTTGAAATCTGGTCTCAGACACTTAACACTTCATAGCTCCTGGGCAAGGCA